GCATTCCTGAAATGCTCAGATGCTGTTGCTCCTTTTCACCACCCGATGGCTGCAGTCTCCTGCTGTTGACTGTACTGTCAACGAGACGTGAAAGGAAAAGGAGCCAAGTACTTCAGGACATGTAGCTAGAAATTATAATAGTTAAAAAATTGTCTTAATTACTGGTGGTTCCTTCATCAGGAGTTAAGTGAAAGCTGGAGATGCTGACATTTGTTACAACATGCCTGAGATGGTTGAACTGCTTAAAACACAGGTCAACACAGTCAGGCTAACTTAATTTTTATTCCTTCTGATGTTCAAGGAATAAGAAATGTTTGGGATGTGGATTTTTTTTATGTAAGTACAGTACTGTGAAGATCAGCATCTCATTTTCTCTGAAGAAAAGTCTGAAGAGTAGTTTCCGTGACGCACTGTAGAGGAAATACTTTAGGAAATTTACTTTAACTGATGGTGTGTTTAAAAATTCTATAGTGTTGCTTCCATAACAATAACCATAAGGATCTTTTTCATTGATCAAAGTCTCCTGTACATGACAAGGTGGAGCTACCGGTTTGAAATACACTTATCTTCAAAGGAGGATGAGGAATGCTATTTTTACAATCTCTTTTGTAAAAGCTTAAAGAAGAAAGCATGATCTTAGAGCATCACATATTTTATGCATTAAAATAGCTATTGAAAAAATCTCAAATTCACCATTTGAGGTTCTTAAATAGGGTGGTACTAACTTATTATGTCTTCAAGATTATCTCTGCAAGAAAGGAGATCTAATCTTACGCCTAAGAGGTCTTAGCACTAAGTAAATGACTTAATTTTTCACTTTCCAGAAGGTTGGGTAAATGCTGTAGCACATTGTTGTACATCTTGGTTGGAATGCTCAGCTGGAACATGCTGTTACTGAAAGCTGGCAAGGTCATCCTGTTACAAAAGATTAAAGAGGTGTTCATGTGTTTTCAGACAACAAAATATTACTCGGGCATCTGATTGAGTTCAATGTAGCTGTTGGACTGATGTTTCTTGGAAGTGACTGTTTTTAATTCCATTTCAAACTCTTATCAAAATTACCTCTTTTTTCCTGCTTTGCTTTTCTGTTCTTGTGCATAAAATTTCTTACATAAGACTTTTTTCCAAAAAATGGTTTGTCTCAACGGGAAGTGAGGATTTAACTTAAGTATGAAAGTGTAACTTGCATTGTTCATTCTCTTTTTGTCTTCTTTATGCAGTTTCTGAATTGGTTTGTGTAGTATGAGCCACTTCTGTAAGTTTTCCATAAAATAAAGCACTAAAGTAAGGATAGACAAAAGGGAGAAAGTAAGCTGACTTCAGTTCTTTGAAAAAGTTGCTGAGAGTGCATTGAGTGTTAGCAATCCACTGAAATGTGTAATGTTTCTAACAAGTGTTGGCTTTTGTTAACTTAGAAGAGCCACTGGGTTTTGGGAGAGAGCTTGATTTAGTGGATCCCTTTGATATGTGTAGTTTTGGTTTGCAGGGTAGATTAGAGTGCTGCAAACTTTAGAGCTTTTTTATTTTTTTTTTTTGCATTCCTACCCCATGGAATATACTAATGCTGAAGAATTGGACTTGAGATATATGGTGTGGGAGAGGAGAGGAAGGAATGCTCTCCACCTCCTGCACCACTATTCCCTTACAAACTGGTCATGTACAAATCCATATCGTATCATATACTGAGCACTCCTGTTTCTTCTTGTGTTCTAGGTCCATCAGTGGTGCTCCCCCAGCCCACTGTGGTACAGCTCCAGGCTTCTGGGGTGCTGCCTGCCTCCCAGCCAGTCATTGCTGTCGCTGGAGGAACCACACAACTTCACAATCCTGTGGTGAATGCGTTGCCTCCAGCTGTGGGAAACGGCTCAGCAAGTGGCAAAATACCAGGGACTAAGCCCTTGCTTCAAAGCACCACACCAGCAAAGGGAGTGGATGTAAGTTCTGACTCTGTGATGATGGCTAACAACCAAAGCTTGGAAGTTACCTGCGTGTGAGACATAATGGGAGAACCTGGTCATTTCAAGAATCTCAGGAAGACAGAGCCATAATTTGCCTCATTGGATAGGATTTCTAACAGTAAACAGGAAATTCAACAGCTTGGCAAAAAATGGGGAGGAACAGCTTGTTATCTGCTGGTCTGCCTGGAGTGGCAGGCCAGGTGTGGAAGCATTGTGGCAGAAGACAGTGCTGATATATTTTTTTTCCTTGTCTTCTCAACTGCAAGCTCACAATGGCTGGAGCTCTTTTACGTACAGGAAGGTGTGATATATCTGATTTTTGATTAGTGTTAAACCGTTTTTATAATGCATATAACACTTCTGGGGAAGTAGATTAATTGGAAATGTCAGCGATCGGCCTGATTCTTTTCCCATCCTCTTTATCTCCCCAGATTTTACTCAAATTTTTAGAAACTTTAGGTATTGATTTTCAGATGATTGTAATATCTTTAGGCTCCCTTTTGATCATATACTGAATGAGTAGGACAGGGGTAAGCTCTTAACAGTCATTGCACAAATGAGTAGGTTTTTCCACAGCAGCTCACAGTAAGCAGTAGATGTCAACAGGAACAGCTTTTGGGATGTGTGGGGTTTTTTTTCTCCCACCTTAGCTTTGACACCTTAACTACCTAGCAAGCTGGGTGTTAACTTGATGTAGTTCCTAGTAGTTTGGAGCTGCTTGGGTTGTATTTTGTTGTCTGAAGGAAGGATGTTGCAGAAAGTAGTGAAGCTTCTTGTTTGTAGCTTTTAAACTCTCAGGGTGTTATTCTTCAGTGTGTTATTCCAAGTGCAGTTGTTACGAGCTTAGGGTCCTATTGCATCTCCCAGTGAGAGGGAGAAAATACTGGTGTCCATTCACTTGAAATTGTGCAGGACAGTCACCTGCTTGTTAGCAGTGCAGGACACTGCTCCTCAGAGGCACATCCCTGCTGGCTTCCTCATTGTACCGTTTCCTAGTGTCTGAGAGTTGCCACTCCTGTTTGATTTTAAATTTTCCTCACTGTTCTTTTTTTTGGGGGGGGGCTGTGTTTTTAAATGAAAAATTATTTGCTACAAGTAATTCAGCAGCCAGACTGCAATGGAATCCTAATCTTGAATTTGCAAGAAGCTACCAGAGGTCTGCCAGTGGACAGGCCCATTAAGAGCCTGTTAACTGATAATTGCCTGCCATGCAAAACCGACTGAGAGACTTGTCAGCAGTCCTTAGATCTGTGACTCCCTGCAGTGAGGGCTAGCATGGCACCTTGCCATTGTCTGAATATAAAGTTTAATTGACAAAACCTCTTTACTGTCATCACACTTCATACCCACATCTGTGACAGACAGATGTGTCACTGGGGTAATGGGCAGCTGTTTGTTCTGAGCAATGGATCTGTGGGTATTTCCACCTGAAGCTGTCTTAGGGAGGCAGTTTTAAGACTTGATAGCAGCATAAATGCTGCACATCTTACCTGTATTTCTTGAAGCATGAAAGAGCAGTTGCTACTGTTCTTCAGCACACGCTGTGACACAGCACTTGGAAAAAGAACAAAGGTTTGGGGATGCACCAGCAGGGTTAACACATCTTGTGACGCCGTGTGTGGCACTCAGAGCCACACAGATTTAGCTGTCATTTGAGCTCTGAAACATGTGTTTTTGTTTCCTAATCTAAGTAGATGTTGCAGGATAAAAAGAAATATTGCAGGGCTTTCTTTTTGGGTTTAGGAGGGATAAACTCTTAGCTTAACACTCGGCCCTTCCAATGAATGAGACTGAGATCAACACTCAACAAGCTGCCCTGCCTTCTGGCCCTGATGGCAACGTTCGAGCAGCTTGGCAGGGCCAGGCTTTCAGTGCTGTCACTCTTCACTAGGAAACTGGTTAACTTTCCACTGGGAACCTGGACAAAAGAAATGCTGCCTAAGCAAGCCACTCTTCTGTTTGAAGGGAGGAAGCTCTTAACTGAAAAAGCAGATTGTCTTCCCTGTGGTAACTGAATGATAGGAGGACGTAAATGGTAGGTGTGTGAGGGAATCTAGTTTAGTTGTGTCCTTACAGGGCCTTTCTCTGAAATTTCAACTCTGTAGAGAGAGAGTATGTAATCCTGCCTACCAGTTCTGTTGATAAAAATGCTGAAAAATTAGATTTATCAGTTCAACATGTGCATTTCTATTAAAGGATCCTTTTTCTCTGTGCTGTACATTGGCTAATCTTCATATGAAATAAACTCATTAGTCAAGTTGTGTTCTGTTGAGTTAGAGACAAGAAAACCCAGGTCTTTCATAAGAACAGAGAAAATGCTTGCATAGATTTTGTATGTAGATTTTTTGCATAGATTTAAAGAAATCTGCATTTAAAATACATCTTTCAAGACAGCAGTTTGCATAAGCTGAGTTAAGAAGACAGCCTGTGTAAGGTTGAAATGGCTTGTACTTTCAGCTTTTTATTAACTTTTCCAATGTGTGTACCAAAGACTCTGTGGAGAGTGAGAAACATTCTTACTATCTTGTGCTGGAAAGAGAGCTTGTGTTGGAATGGAGGTTAAATTCTGCTCAGAACTGAGCTTACTTTGGAAGACTAAACGGAGGTAGCAGTGTTTATTTGTAAAGTGCATGACTGTGAAGATAGAGGACAATCTGAATCTAGTTAGTACTGTTTGAAGCAAGGTTTTGCAATGAATCTTTCACTTCTCCATATTTACACATCTTGTGTGTGTGTGTTAGTGTTGGTGTAGTTTTTAAAGCTGGGAAGCAGAAGTTGCATCATCGATTAATGTTTGTTTTTTAATGCCAGTGTTTTCCTTTTATGGGCTGTGTTTCCTGAGAACCAGAACTTAATATTTGGAGTGGTAAATTAATACAATGCAACCTACAAAGTGGGAGTCTGCAAAATGAGTTAAGAAGTGTTTGCTAATTTTAATCATTGTTGGGCACTTGTGCAAAGCAGAGTTGCTCATGCAGTCAGACATTATAAGTTAGTTCGTCTCTCTCTTCTCACTCTCAAAATGCTGAAGCAAGTGGCATGTTTATCTTGATACCAAGCCAGCTATGTGAAGCTTAGTGCCACACTGTTTCCAGGTTTAAGCTTTGTTGTGCTGTTTCACAGACACAACTCTTCCCTTTTTCTGTATCAGATTTAGGTAGGATCAGGTGTGCAGTTGTGGCTTATTCCCCAAGAAACGCCAGGCAAGGGCTAGAGGGTTGACCAAGGACCTTAAAAGTGTTTTAGGGATTGTCAATTAAAACAAAATAACTGGAGGATAAGAATAGCTAGGGTTCATTTACACAAACTTAAGAAACGTGCAAGTGAAACTAGTGTGGCGTAGACTGGAATGCAGTTATTGCACAGAGCTGTTGTTCCTGCTAGCATTTGGAGAACACTGAGTAAAAGAGGGCAGTCTAGATCAATACTGTCTGAAATGTGGGCAACTTTCAGGTAAGTAAGCTAAGCTGGTAGTGTCTGAAACAGCAATTGATGTACCTTAGGATGTGCTCTCAGTGTACAAACACTACACTGGTGCTTTAACTCTGTGTTTTCTCCATGGAAGCAGATCAGTTTGCTAGAGGTTCCAGACACAGTCAAAAGCTCTCCAGTAGTGAATAATCCTGAGTAGGTCTGCAAACCAGGATGGATGTAAACAATTTGGTGTTCTCTCTTTGACTTCATGATGCAAAATCTCTTTTTAAGAAGAGTAATGTAACTGCTTGTTTGGAATATCACACAACTGAAGCCAAAGCTGCTGCATGAACTCGTTCCTTATTATTTAATCTCTGGACAGCTGCAGTGATCCTGGCCCCAAATTGGTGTGTTCTATATACTGCAGTCCCTGGCTAGCCTGAATATTTTTTTTTCCAAAAATGTTGTATGTCTGCAAAAGTTTTCTTACATTAAGTATTGCAGTACTTAAACAACTCAAGACAAAGCTTAGTGTTAATGAAAATAGGTTAAAATCTTTCCCTTCTTCACTCTCTGCTAAAGAGAGAAACTGGAATAAGTACAACAGCTTCACTTTCACAGACTTTTGTTGGTGGCAGCAGACTAGACATATAATAAATGATCTTTACAGAAAGCAATTAAATCAACATAGAGGCAGCCCAAAATGTTAATGCACTGTAACATTTTTTCTTAGCCTTTGTCACTAGACTGCAGTATCGTGAAGAATGACTTCTTCAAACAGCCTGCAGCCAATTTTTCTTTCATACACCAAAGCCCTAGAGCAACATACTGTCTGTGAGTGGGTACATACATAGAGGGGGAGAGTTAGAAAGCTATGGTTAAGATTCATTAAGCAGTCAGACCTTAACTGGAGCACACTGAGTTTGTTAATGTTACTATTCTGTGACTTGTTTATTTTTTTACTCAACTGAAATTTCTGGAATAGTTCTCTTTTTTTTCTTTAACTTTAAGCTTTGAAGACTTTTGTTGGTGGCAGCAGACTAGACATATAATAAATGATCTTTACAGAAAGCAATTAAATCAACATAGAGGCAGCCCAAAATGTTAATGCACTGTAACATTTTTTCTTAGCCTTTGTCACTAGACTGCAGTATCGTGAAGAATGACTTCTTCAAACAGCCTGCAGCCAATTTTTCTTTCATACACCAAAGCCCTAGAGCAACATACTGTCTGTGAGTGGGTACATACATAGAGGGGGAGAGTTAGAAAGCTATGGTTAAGATTCATTAAGCAGTCAGACCTTAACTGGAGCACACTGAGTTTGTTAATGTTACTATTCTGTGACTTGTTTATTTTTTTACTCAACTGAAATTTCTGGAATAGTTCTCTTTTTTTCTTTAGCTTTCATGCTCTAATAGGTAGAGCTTACTCCACTGCATATGTTGGTAGCTACAGGAGGATATTCAGCTCTGTCTAATATACAGCATTCAGTTCTCTTTCAGTGTAAACATTGTTAAGGCATATCCTGTTGTAGCTTAATAATGTGATGGAAATCTGCTGTTTTAAACAGAGTTGCTGTTGCTAATCTGTGAAAGAAAGGAAATCAGAGCAGTGTTTAAATGTAGGTTTCAAATGGCTTTGTGTAAGTCTGCAGTATTGATTGTTACTAGCATTGTCAGCAGCGAGATGCTTTCAGTCTAGGTTGTCCCACTCAGGGCAAACCACAAAATGAGTAAGCGGTAAAAGACACTAGACTGTTCCTGCTTGGGAAAAATACCAGAGTCATCATGATTGTTGGAGGATGGGAAAAGGTTGCTGGGGCGACTTTGAACTGTCTTGGGCTGGTCTTTCAGCTGAATGCTGCTAGTGGTTGCAGTAAATTATGTGCCCTCCTGGAGTATATTTGCTGGTTTAACTTCATCCAGAAGGAATCCAATTTGTGTGCTTTATTGGAAACTGTTCTGTGGTGTGAACCAGAGCCTATTAAGTTGGACAATAAGGAAATGAGCATTAAAGCCACGTTTCTGATCTGACTTAAAATGTTAGTATGTAGACTGCATTTAAACTGCCATGGAAGTGCTTGATACACATAGAATGTGCACTCTGATGTCAGCAGCAGTATTCAAAATCTCAAAAACTATGTAGCAGAGCTGTAAAAGGTATAGAAATGGGTATAATCCATGTAGAAATGGCTCCCATACAGGACAAACTAAAAAACCATAGGACTTTCCAGTTAAGAAACCAGATGAGTGGTTGTAGCCTGTCAAATGGTGCATGGTGAAGTGACAGGTGAAAGATATTCTTGCTACCTTGCAAACTTGTAGATACGTATTTTCTGTCTTTGTGTTTTGATTGATCAAATCAAACTGCTGCTCAACTATGCATTTAGTGTCCTCTACACATAGGAGAAGGTTGAGGATCCAGGAGGAGACAGAGACAGCCCAGGACCCTTTTTTCGTTGTCCGTGAGCTATGACACTCAGAGCGGTACCGTGATTTCCCAATTGCATTTGTCCTGGACATTTCAGCTTATCTGAAGCAGAGTGTGAGAAGCAATCGGTGCAGACTCTTGACTTTTAGAGGAGCAGAAGTTGCATGAGAAAGGAGAGTCACTTTTAACTTGCAGATCAGTAAGAAGCCTCTGTGTTGTCTGCCTAGGTCAATGTCTTGAGAAGACAGCAGCGCATGATCAAAAACCGGGAGTCAGCCTTTCAGTCACGGAAGAAAAAGAAAGAATACATGTTGGGATTGGAGGCAAGGCTGGAGGCAGCCTTGCTGGAGAATGAAAAGCTCAAGAAAGAAAACAGCACACTGAAGAGGCAGCTGGATGAAGTAGTATTAGAGGTAAGAGATTGTGATGAAGATCTGACTTAAATAAAGAGACAGTTTCTCAGGTGGAAGGCACTTGAACAAAATCATGGAAGACCTTTGGGGCTTTCTAGCTGAGCTGCCTACTCCAAGCAGAACTTCCACTAACTATAGGTCAGATCAGCTGTTGCATTGTCTAGCTGACTTTTAATTTATTTCATGGTGCACTGAGAAAAGAGAATGGTTAGAAGCTGAATATGGTGCACAAACAAAAGAGTTTTATTTTTAAGTAGTCCTGGTCTGTATTCATTCATAATTAGGCAAATATAAATCTGAACAGCAAAGTGTTTCGTTTCTGACATACCTTTACATATCTGTGCCCCTTTTTTATTGCATATCTTCCTGTTTTTTCCTGTCTAGAACCAGAAACTCAAAGTATCATCTCCAAAGAGAAGGACCCTGTGTGTGATGGTGATCCTGGCTTTTATAATGCTAAATTATGGCCCACTGAGGTAAGCTGCCTAGGAATTCCTCTTTGCATAGCCAGTTTGCTATCTTGCAGGTTTTGTTTTAATCTTTAATGCAGCAACTGCTGTGTTCTGAAACTTTGAGCTTGAAACTTGACTGCTGTCCTTTACTCTCCTCCTGCACAGGGGAAGACTGTATAATTGTTCCTCTTCTGGAGTCTTTGTGGCAACAAGAGCTAGATCTTGTACTTTTCATTTCTCTTTTCTTGGCATTTTGTTAATCAGTGCAGCATATGCAGTTTGTCTGCTCCATTTATACTTGAAGATATTAAAAAGCTGTGTTTAGAATCCTTTTAGAAAAAAAGTCACAACATTTTAGAGCTTGTCTGCTTGTTTATACCTGTGCTAATCTCAATAGCTATGAGTTTAAGCTGCTTCTCTTACCCAGTGCAGGAAATCCCACTGTTTGTTCCAGTGCTTTGCAATCCTCAGCATTAGTTGTGTCTAGCCACAGTCCTCCTCATTACAGAGTAAGCTGTGTGTTGCTTGTCTTCTAGATCTGGTGAGGAGGTTGTTCCCTCGCCTTGATTTAATTTGTTGAAGTGGTAATCAAAAGCCTGTCTTCTTCAAACAGTGTCAGTGGGGCAAAGGAGCCAGAAAGCAGGAAGGAAATGCTGCTTTATTTCCCAGACACTTTTTATAAAGAAATCTGTGGAAGAGAGGAGACCAAAAAAGGGATACTTCTTGCACGTATATGTCTATTTAGCTGGCTCTCAAAAATAACGGTCTTTTACATGAAGCTTGTTCACCTTTTCAAAACGGAAGGTCATTTCAGTAGGTTCCCAGTGTGCAGTGTATCCATTTGTCCTCAAAACCCCAGTCATTCTCAAGGAATGGCATGAGATAAATCTGGAGGAGGACTTTGTTTCCAACTGTTATAAACTTTTACAATGTTGGTGTTTGTATTTTTAATAACATTAGAAAATTTGCTGAAGTTGAAATAACTTTTCAAGTATTTGCACTTACTACAAATACTGTTTATCTCAGGCAATGAAGTGCAGCTGATATTTTTACTTGGATATAGATAATTTTAAGGTAGACCATTTCTTAGTGCATTTAGGGTTTATATTGGGACTTTTTTACTATCAGGTGGAAAAATCAGCTTCCAGATACTAAGTGATTGGTTTGTACATTCCATCTGCAGTTGCAAATGTTACTGCTTCCCCAAGAGACACTGTTCTTGCTTGGTGCAAATTAATGGGACCAGTAATCTTTTTGAAGCTAGAAGCAATTTTAATTGCCTCCACATTACAGTGAGGAGTTGGAATGCAGGAAGCTCTTTGTTAGTTCTGAGAGGCTTGGAAGCATACAGAAGATGACTGGGAAGTATTTTTACCACAATGCTCTAACGTTCCTGTGTCAGCTCCTCTGCCCCTCCGGGGAGAATAAATAAGGTGTTAAGTTTGATGGCAAAAAACTGCTGTTGAAGTAGATGGAAAGGTCAGTTTGTGTTCATATATTTACAACAGAAGTAGATAAAGCAAACAGAAATTCTTGGATGTCTGTTTGAGCAGGCAAGTATAATTGTTGTGCCTGAGCTAAGTGGTCTGCATCAGTATTGGATTTAAGAAGTGAGGAGAAATGTAATTCTGGATTTGTAATTCTAATTCTAGAATCTAGATAAGATTTCTCTTATCTTTCTGCGCTTTTTTTTTTCTAGCAGAATAAATGCTTGCACTGCAATTAAAATACTAGACTGTATCAAGGCAATGTGAATGTTGATTTTGCAATATCCTCTGAAGGCCCAGAATGTGGGATACATTACTTAAGATCTCACTCCTAGCATATGCATTTTCTTCCTTTTATAGAGCTATCACTGACTGGTAGCTCTGCCAATTTGATAGTCATGACTGCTCTTCTGCTTAGACCTTAACAACAGAAGTTTCTAATACTCATGTTGTTTTTCAGTCCCTGCAACCTCTTACAGAAATAAGGGGGTTTATGGTTGTTTGGATTTTTTTGGTTAAAATATCCATGCTAGCTTATACTTCAGCGAAAGTACTTCCACCTCCCCTCCCCCTGTGTTAGCTGTAATGCCTAATTTATATGCAGTGGTCAACTGGGGATAAATCTCACTTGAAACTTTGTGACAGTGTTACCATTTCTGCTGTGTAGGAAATAATTTTACTTGCACACCTGTATGGAGGTGTAGCATTGTAAGATGCTTCTCCGTTTCTTAATCGGAAGTGATAGGATTCTTTGAAGGCTGGAAGGAAAACAAAAGAATAGAAATATAGGGTTTTCTCTTTAGCTGACTATTTCTGTCAAATCAGAGAAGGCAGAGAATTGGTTGGGTTCCCTGGAGACAGGGGTGTGAAGCTGAAGGACAGGTAGTCCTGCAAATACTCTGTGGCCTGCAGCAGGTCAGCAGAGGTGCAATGCAGTGTTTGGGCATTTGGCATTCCACAAAAAAACATCTGCATGGTTGGCTGTGTATGTGTAGTTCTGTGTTTTCTTCTGCTTTAGTGCATATGTGTTGTACTAGCACTGGTTCACACATGATTTTGTTTATTGGTCTTAAAGTCTTGTTGACTGTGTGTGTAAGTGGTGAGATGTTTGTGGTGTTTTACAGACTCTTAAGTCTGTGCTTTTCTGCTGTTCTATGGTGATGAGAAGCCGTCCAGGATGTGGCAGCCCGTGGCAAACAAGTTTAGAAGATAAAATTGTTCTGCTGACACATTTTTTCATGCTGACAAATACACTGTGTGTGTGGGTAATCTGTAACATTGAACCTGGGAGTGGGGCTGAAAGTCTGGTAGGGAAGCTGGAATATTAACCCAAGAAATCTGAAAATATTGGAGGGAGAGTCTAGTCCAGTCTGTTTAATTGCCAGCAAACTTTTCAAAGCATCCTTCAGTCTTGGAAATGGCACCATGTTATCTCTTATAACAATGTCAGATTAAGTATAAATTCAATATAAATGTGAATTCAGTATGTTCTGGTCGTGAAAGGGACTTGTATAGAGCTAATGGTAACTCTGCATTGTGTTGTGCTGGGTTACTAAACTCTTTTGATTTTGCTGCTATTTGTAGAGAAAATTGCAACTTTGAATTAGTAAAAGCAGAAGTGATGTAGCATGGATTCTATTAGTGTAAGTTTCTGTTTAATCTCTTGGCTTTATACTAGAAGAAAGGCATCCAGGAATTTCCCATCTGTGTGTCAATGAACTATTCTCTAATCTTTGTGAATTATTTGGGTTTGGATTTAACATCTATACAAATTTCCTTTTATTATTATTTAAGAATGATTGGTGAGGTGTATGAAGGGAAAAGGGCACAGTTTGATTTAATTCCCTGAGGAGGTCACCCCTGTGCCTCCGTCTTACATACTATGAAGTGCCAGACAGCCCACCATCGTGTGCACAAAAGGCAAGGAGCACACAAACCCTGGGAGCTGGAACCAGCACATGTGGAGGCAGATATCTGGGGGAGGCAGCATCTCCTGCCTTTGCACTTGCCTTCTGTGAGTGCCACTGTCAGCCAGCACAGCCACCTTCTCAGCTGTCGTGGCACCCCTGAACAATTGCTGATGTCTGGCATTAAGGAATAACTAATTAGCTGTGCACTTTTTTTTTTGGTCATTCACAACATGAAATCTGAGGATTGTCAGCCTGTTAGAATCCCTAGGTGTTTGGGCTTTTTCTTGTTTCATTTCCATATTTGTGTTAGATTGTGTTAAACAAGCCCAAACAATGCTGAAATAAATTGAAACAAAGCACATGTTCTAGTCTAAACAATCCATGTATTTATTTTGGGAATCTTTTTGTTTCTTTTCCCAGTTCCAAATTGAATATAAATTGTCTTATGTGTTTGTTTTTATAATGCAAGTCTTACATAGGATTGAGAAATATTTTCAGGAAATTAACCCAACTCACATAAAGAAAGTAGGGAGGGAGAAAGATCACAAAAGATGCAAAAGGTGAATTTTCTACGTCTCTGCTACTTGGGACAGTAGCAACAAAGCACATAAGCCAGGTACTTGCTAGTGGCCCTAACATTCTTTTCTTCGCTATGAAAAATGTTCAGCTATTTATCTGTTTTTACCCCTAATCAGTCTACTCAAGCAAACATGGTGGTCATCATCTAACAGCATTCTTAGAGCATTTAAAACGTTGTCAGCCAGCCAGATTGTGTTTCAGCTACCATTTCAGATATTTAGTAAACAGAAAACAGAAAAAAACATTAAGTCGGAGAGAGGAAAGACAGATCTGCAATGAGATTGGGCCAGGGGCTTTGAGAAGATGGTGTAATTTTTTATTTTTTATTTTATTTTTTTTCTTACAAGTTGGCCATCTCTGTATTGCTGGAATCCCTTTCAAACTAGAAAACAGACTTGATGATGTAACCAAAAATGCTCAAGCTGTATTTGTGGTGGAGGTGGTGATTGATGCAGCTAAGTAAAGCTGCTGCTTCGAAATCTCTTGTGTTCTGTTGGCCTACAGCAGCTGCACTAGAGTTGCTGGCCTTTTCTAGTGACTTCACTGCAGCTCCTCTCTAGAGCACCCTGATGGGTTTTCCTCAACTTTCCAGGACTATCCTGTAAACTGAATGATCTATTAAAAATATAGATCCACTGAGCACTCTGAAAATAAAGACACCAGCCCTGGTTGCTGAGAAGTGTGATTTTTCTGCTACTGTTGTAGAGTGCAACAAGTGGAGAAGTGATGATTTTTGACTCTTTAAAGACAGGGGTGTGTCCCATTTTTTAGGTTGGGAGCACAAATGTTAGGGGAAACAAAACAGAAGTGGTAAGCCTACTCATTTTTAATATGAGGAAGTCACCCAAGCGTTGCTCAGCTTCACACTGCCATGATTTGCTGCTTCTAAGCATGAAGTAAGCAAAACACAAGTCCTTTGTTATCACCCAGCTCAGCATCTCCCCTAGCCTGCAGGCTGCTAGTCAGTATTAGTGTATCCTGCTGAGCTTTCAGAGCACACATGTTTTGGGGTGCTGAAGCACCATCCACTGAGCACATCTGTACTGGT